ATGATGTGAGATGGTCCCTGGGTGCAGGCGATGGGGCTGTGTTTGGGGGATTTGTGGTGGTCCATGGGTGCAGGTGATGGGGCTGTGTTTGGGGTGATGTGAGATGGTCCCTGGGTGCAGGCGATGGGGCTGTGTTTGGGGTGATGTGAGATGGTCCCTGGGTGCAGGCGATGGGGCTGTGTTTGGGGTGATTTCAAATAATCCCTGGGTGCAGTTGATGTGGGATATTTTGGGGTGATTTTATTGATTGCTGTATTTTAGCAGGTTTTGGAGATTGCATTATTGAAAAGAAAGATGTGTCCAGGTAAAGGGTTTAGGGGGAATATTTAATATAAATATTAATATTATATCATAAATGAGGACACTATACCGTCCTTACAGTGACATAGGACAATCTGGGGGCTATCGGTGGGGATGTAAAATAGTGTGTGTATGTATGTATATATTTATTTATATATGATATGAGACTGTGGCGGTATCATTCCCTGTATTCACACTGGTTATATCAGATTAACCCTTTCATTGGGGTGAGTTGGTAATCCTCTTTCTCCAGAGAGACGACAGGCAGGATTTAACCATACGATGGCAATCACACATACCAATTTGCAAGGCGACACATTTCACATTGTGGATGTGGGGGGTTATTCATTGAGTGCTAGCAGGGTGGCTTATTTCATTGCAAGTCTCATATCTGGCTGTCAAAGTGTTAAATCGGTTTCCAGTGCCGAGAGAGATGTGTAGGGGAAGGAGGTCTGGTGGATACTCACAGCTCTTGTCACCGAGATGAACCTGTCGTAGCTGATGAGCACAATATTGAAGACAGACGATGTGCACAGCAAGTAATCCAGGACCAGCCACAGTTTGCAAACACTCTTCCCAAAGCTCCATCGGCCTGTCAGCACATAGGGCACATACAGTGGGATACACAGGGCTCCTGCAACAAACAAAACCCAATTAGTGCAAGCAGATCCTATCCCAGCCAGCCCCCATTTATATCCATAACCCCCTGCCCATTCTGGTATATTGTCTGAGCTAGCCAGCCCTTTTTATATCAATAACATGCCAGATATTCTAAAAGAGTGTCTAAACTACATTTATTATACCCAGCCAGCCCCCATTAGTACCCAGAGCCCTCTTATTCTGTACAGCCATAGCTCCTCTAACCTATAAATTGTTACATTGTTAAACTTTTATCATTAGTGATAGAATGACAGAACCAAGTCTGCATTTAACAGACATGTCTCCTGCTCCTGTCTCATCACACCTGTTGCTCCCTTGTTCTGTGTTCGTGAAGCCAGGAGAACGAGAAAAAAAACATACTTTACCTACGAGGAAGTCAGAAATGGCTAGATTCAGCAGAAAGTAATTATTTTGTGTCCTTAGACTGGAATCCACTAGGAAAGCCAACATGACCAGGGCATTGCCCAGCACTGTGGTAACAATGAGAACTCCCATCAGGGCAGCCAGGAACACTGTCCAGGAAAAGGGGTATTTGGAGTGGAAGCTGGGCTCCCCATTCCGCCAGGTCCCATTGGACAGCCAGTTCTGTTGGGTGCTGTCCATTTCAGCACCACAGCCCGTGCAAGGCATCTACTGATGAAGCATTGTACTGCGCAACAGCCCTGCAAGCATCCCACATCAGACTCACAGTAGCACGTCTCCTGGATGGGGGCAATCAGGAGACAGACAGAAGGATGAGGCTTATATCCAGAAACATGTCTCTTCTCATGATCCTTTCATGGCAACTTTCTGATTCCTGATCCATGTAAACCCAGACTCTGCAATGCCTTCTCCCTTATTAACTGACAGCTCAGAAATGCCAGAGTCAATCTGAGGCTAGCACAATCTACATATTATCTAGCCCAGTCCAATACCAGAGAGAAATCAGAGCCCAATATCTCCAGTGAAAGA